TGAGTAGGCGATGACGATAGATTTTGTTATGTACAGTTAAATAAGTTCTAATCTTTAGATTTCTCATTCCAGCCATACTGGTGGTTTCGGCAATGCTAGCGTCTGTGCTCATATCATCAACGATTATTCAATCAGAATCAAAATAGTGTGTCTAATGACAATTATACCGCGAGTTATACACTCTTTCACCTACATCGACATTTTTCCGATCAGAGCTTTACATTTGAAGGCTGGCTTTGTTTGACGGTTGCTATTCAGGCTAGACCTCTGATGGGTCAATGCAGTTGTATATGTTGTGTTAGTCAATGTTTATTTCTAAATATTTTAAACGGATGACCGTATGTGGACTTTAGTTATGATGACCTAGCCGATGCAGCACTGCTCATCAGACAGATTTTGTATTATTTAGCTTTTGTTTACAACTACCACGCTCAACTTCAGATAGCCTATGCTGACGGTATTCAAGACAACATAAGATTTAATCTATCACTATACCAGGAAAATAATGTTTTACTCTGTATTTTGGTCAATCAAGTTTCTCAGTTATCTAATTAATAATGTAGCTCTCATAAATTGAGCTAAAAGTTCCATGAAATTTCTTGTTGATGCTACACAATTTTCCCTTTATCTTACCGAATCAAATATTTGGCTATGGTGCAGATTAGAAATGTGCATGGTAGCTGTTCCTGGGTACCTGGTCTATTCTATGAAAATTTTGGTACCCTCTCCTACCCTACGACACACGAGCCGTGTCCCTATCCTAGCGTGTGATTTCAGTTTTCAGAGAAAAAATCAAGTTTTTCCAACACGTAGGCCTAAAAACCCTACAACTGACCAATTTAAGCTTTTATGTGAACAACTCGAGTGATCTGAGAATCCTTGTGGTTTTGTTAGCGACGATATAGTTCATCCAGATTTGCCAAACAAAGCCGTACCCTACTCTGTGACTTAAGGCTACCCGCCCTCAGAAAAGATCTTTTTGTTTCAAGGCTACCAATAGTCACCAGGTGCCAGTCCTGGGACTCGTAGAAAATCCGATACAGCGCCCAAGCCGACACCGAAAATCAAGGTGTCGTTTGACTCCCGTCTTCAAGAGGACATCTCGGGCTATCAGTCCATGAGAAAAAATCAATACAATCCTATTCGAAATTTTTTACACACGATTTGGTTTTTCAAAGATCCCTTAGAAAACCTGTTTCAGGAAACTCTTCTGAGGACTCTCTAAGCTTGTTCACCCATGCATTATACTCAGCATCATTAGGTATTCGTTTTGTACAAAAATCACTTTCATAGCATCAGTGCGTCAGTTCGAAATAAAATAGTAAGTTTTTGTACAGGGGGTCTCCAGAAAACCTCTGAAAACCCTCTAAAAAGCCATTAATATGGCATTAAATCATATGTATTCTGAAAGTAGACACTTCAGGCTCTCTTTGTATGTGCTTATCTCAAAATCCGAGCATCGTCATTTCTGAGGGGGGAGACGCTTAAGGTAGTATTAGAACCCTGATCCTAGTCTACGCTGTAAGTTCGATTATTATGTGACAGTGAAAACTGTCTCGTAATGGCACCAGGACAAGTCGACGATATAATATACACGCCTAGCTGCGTGAATTCGTATTTTCAATTCTATGAGCCTGTCGGAAAGCGAAACAAGTCAGTTCGGGTCAACGTAAGAAACATTATATGAGGGCGGGTCAGAGTAAAAAGAAATTTCGGGCTTTCTTCGGGTCATATCACTGGACTACAAAAGATAAAATTTTCGTCGGTTACGTACGTTCCAGAAAAAAAATTTTCGGTTTCGTGGTATTGTGGGATCACTAGGAAAGAATTCTCGGATCATCGGGGTCAAATTCTAAAAGGGTTTTTCGCATTAAACAGCTCTCGGGATAGAGGAAATCGGCTAAAAAATTACACTTGATTACTGAAGGAAACGGTAAGAAAAAGATTAGGTAACTATTTTACGGATGAGCCAGATTAAATTGCCGGCCTTTATAAGGCTTTTCTCTCAAGTTAAACTTGATGAGAAAATTCCATTTGGATGCTAAAAGATGATCATATATTCCTTTTGAAATAAATATTTGCTGTTTTTGTACAGCATCAGAAATGCTGAAAGTCATACAAAGCAGAGTTACTCAGCACTTTGTATAGAATAAAGTGTAATTTTTAGTATCCAAACTGATTTTGTTCAGAGATTCAAACGAGACATTAAAAACTAGAATCAAGTCTTAATATTTTATGTACAAAATATTTTCCGCTATTTTCTAAATTCTAAATTTAATTTCTAACTTTTAATTGAGCAACTCAGCTTTTTATGGCTTTCAGTATTTCTGATGTTTTACAAAAACGGCAAATATTTATTTCAAAAGGAATATATGACTAAAATCTACGCAACATTCGCCGTCTTTTAGCATTCAAATGAAATTTTCTGATTAAGCTTAACCTGAGAAAAAGTCTTGCAAAGGTGGGAAATTTAATCTGACTCACCCGTTAAGAATTTCAAAGCTGTGTTAAACTTAAAAATAGACTGTCCGCGTGAACTTTACCAATTTGAAGGTGAAACTTCGGCCAAGTGTTATTCTGTTTCTATCTAGGTTTTAGGTACACTGCAACCTCATTCGCGGAAGGCCCTTCAAATACTCAAAGGAGGGTTTTTCTACTCTATACACCTTCAGACTTTGCTAGTTTGTAGAGAGCACCTTCAACGGTATAGAGATGATATAACTCGGGGACCAGATAACTAGTGAAATTTTTAAAAATTGAAAAAAACAATTTCTCCTGCTGTTTTGCGCCTGGTGGAAAAAGCCATTCTTATTAACCGTGCCTGGTGAGTTCAAGATTTCGAACAACTTGTATTCACACAAAAATCGTCATTACAGTGATCTTCACTGGATGACATATTATTTATTAAGAAAATAAGTTTAATAGGTGAAAAATAGGTGGCATCATGTTTCCTGAAACTTTCTAGACTCGTATCTATTGACTTCTGGAAACTCAGAATCGATTCTAATATAGGTAATCAGACAGCTACCGTCTAATGGCAATGTCTGATTTTAGATAAAAGCTTGTGAATACGTTTTGTGTCACAATTGCATTTGTCTATTGCAGAAAAAATAGATTTTTCAAAGATCCTCTTAGAGCCCTACGTTAAAACATGAGGTTTAAACTTATTTTCTTAATAAATAATATGTCATCCAGTGGAGATCACCATAATAACGATTTTTGTATTGACAAAACTTGTCCTAAATCTTGCGCTCACCAGGCGTGCTGAACAAGAATAACAAGGCGCAAAATAGCAGAAAAAAATCATTTTTTCAATTTTTAAAAGTTTCACATTGTTTAAACGCTGAGAAAAGTGACTTACAGTTCTTTCGCTAATAATTCGTTCTTGCTCTTTCTCATCTATTGTAAAATCCACTTTAACTTTTTGTGTATTGTACTTCGAAGAATGTCAGATTAATCTTCAAAACGTTATCCTAGAAAACATATACTATTGTAGACAGAAGAACTTTTCCAATGGTTTTCTTTATAAAGAAGCTCGTAATTTATACAGATGGATTATTTCAAATTTTCTTGCTAAAAAGAATGATTAAGAAATTAAAGAATCCTTATATTAACTAGACATCCCGTTCCACCGGTATTTCCGAGCCAAAAACTAATAACATACAAATCACCGATTATAGCATTGAATGTTTGATTTATGGATATCAGTGTAGTACTACTAGCGTGCAATGAATAAAGACCTGTATGCGGATTACTGCTGGAAACATAACAAGTTCCACCTATCACTAAACATGATGCACTTGTCCAGCCGCTAGAACCTAACTCAAATCCACCATTTGTAATCGTTTGAATAGATCCATGATAAACTGATACGTCATCTAACCAGTAGGTCGTAGATGGATTTTTGAAACTGAATGATAATGTATGATTAGTTAATATTGCTTGAAAATAATATGCGAAACATTTGTAGTCAAAAGCAGTTGTACTCGTTGAATTATATAACATGCCGCTTGCTGAAACGTTTGATGGTGTACATGGTGGCAATGGCGTTGTAGCTAGCGAAGAATTCATTTGATTAGAAGAAGCTCTGCTAAAAGCAGATAACTTACTCGACGTTGTGACCCCCGTAGCTATAAATTGAAAATAAGAATTTTTGTAACTTAAGTTGTAAATAGCAGAGTTTCGTAAGTATTTCATAACCTATGATTTCTGAGTGCTTATATAACCAGTCAGTTATTTCCAGAATAGTCAACGAGTTTCAGGATATGGAGTAGTGGCTATGAGAATATCTCAGTTCCCGTGATTTTCTTTCTGCCGAGAAAAAGACTGTATTCTTAGTTTTATTTTCAGATAAATTTAAGGCTTAGGTCTTGCCTTGAAATAATATACCATAAAGGACTATGACAACAACAATAGCTCGCAACTTATTGAACTTATTTATTTTGTTTTTGTCTCTCAAAATGAAACTATTCGCAAATCACTCAGTCATGCTGTGAAGCTGGTGGTTAGACAATTTGGCTAAAATAAACACAGACAGCAGCGACCTATCGACCAAATTTTGCATAGGGAATGATCATTTTCAACTGAGTACTCATACTTTTTATGTGTATTTTTCAATCTCCTGAGTGATATTGATAGAAAAAACAATATGTAAACTGATTATTGAGACGTGCGTTCAGACGTGCGATTTACAGCATAGATAGGAGAAGTGACAATAACACTGTGAATAATAATGAATTTTCTCATAAGATGTGACAGCTTTTCAGATTTTAGGTGTGAAAAACAGAAGCATAGTTCAATTTATCCTACTGTAAATGTATAAAACTTAATTCATTGCTAAAATTTGTCTAGCTTACTTGTATCGGTAATAGTTGTTGAGATCGTTGATGTATAAGTAATAGTCGTTGAGACCGTTGATGTAGAAGTAATAGTTGTCGAGATCGTTGATGTGTCAGTTGAAGCAAAAATACTGGTGTCTATAAAGTATTTTGAAATAAGCGATAACAAACTTGTATACAATTATAATTTTTACTTGTGGTTACGACTAAAGTATTACTCGTTGTGTTGATGATTGATACTGATGTTGAAATATTTGTACTGTTAACTGCAGATAAATCATCGATTAAAATATCCAAAACAAACTTTTTAGTTTGATCCATACTGACCTATTGATGGTGCTGTTTTATCTGGCGATTTCGATAGTTTGATTATCATAATTCCAACAATAAGAGCAGCAGTTGCAAGAATGAATCCTAGCAGCAGGATATAGCAGGGTATCATATACCAAAGTCTATTATAAAATATGATTGCGAAAAATAGTCAGTTAAAATTAAACATGTATACTTTTTCTTGGCCATCTTTTGGCTCTTTTTCTTTCCGTGCATTCGTTCAGATCTCTTCGGAGGAAAATCTAATGACTTCGTTGATGTTTTGTGGCTCGATAACTAAAGAATTTTTTGTACAATTCTACAGAAACTATTTCTGATATCATATACTTACGCTAATACGAAAACTACGCGTAGCTTTTGGCTTAGATTCATTGGTCTTGACGGTATACATTCGTATTTTATACATTTACTCACATACGATTCTTTCTTTCAACAGATCGTGTGTTTAATTTTCTATATTACTATTATTTCAAAAATTGGAAGTTCTAAAAGTTAAATTCAATTTGTATATAGAAAACAAGGTCATTTCAAACTTAAACCACGTTATTTTTAATTATATGATGTTATTATGATAAAAATAAAATATATCACTCATTGGTTTATACAATCAAAGTAGATTAAGTATGTTGCATTACATGATAAAGCACGACCTGCTGTCATTGGTCTAAAGAAATTTTAATGGAGATGTCTTAATCTGTAAATTAAATGTCCTTCCCTATGAGATAGTAACAAAATAGTCAGTTATAAAGTAAATCCTCTCTTCCATGATAGACGGTCACCATGGTCCTACGAGCTTGATTTGGGGCAGATTCGTCATTTTTTCGACTTTCGATTGTCTCCAAAGACTATGTTTCACACGATGTTATTAAAAACAAATACCATAGATATACACAACTCGGCGAGCTCTACAGGACCTACTACGTTATTTCTTGGCGGCTTTTCAAAAAGTATAAAGTGGGCGGAGCTGTGTGGAAGCAGCCCAACAATAATAGTACTTTGCGAATATCCATTATTCTGACTACTATTTTGATTCTAAAATTTTCCTGAATATGCGAAAAAAAACTTTGAAAAAAACTTCTCGATTTTATTGATAAAAACTAAAATATGGCGACTTTTTCGACTTTTGCAAATGATTTTTTCTAACCCAAGAAAGTGGAAAACAAATTTGATTTTCCCATCGAAAAAAACGTATACACTTAGAGTTGTTCCCTCTATTAAAATATGAAAAATTGATTATGCATTTCCATTTGGTTGCTTAAAATATTCTGGTTTTTCCACATAAACCTCAGTTTTTCAAAAGCTCAAAATTTTAGTTACCAAATTTTATTCCGTCTTTTACGCTCTTTCGAGTGAAACGTCATTCAAAAAGACCGAACGAAAACTGACAGGTTTTCACATAAAAGCTTAAATTGGTCAATTGTAGGGTTTTTTAGGCCTAGGTGTTGGAAAAACTTGATTTTCTCCCTGAAAACCGAAATCACACGGTAGCACAGGGACAGGGCTCGTGTGTCGTAGCGTAGGGAGAGGGTACCAAAATTTTCATAGAATAGACCAGGTACCCAGGAACAGCTACCATGCACATTTCTAATCTGCACCATAGTCAAATATTTGATTCGGTAAGATAAAGGGAAAATTGTGTAGCATCAACAAGAAATTTCGTGGAACTTTTACCTCAATTTATGAGCGCTAGTGTTGAATTGGCTAGGTTATTATAGCTAAAGTCCACATACGGTCACGCATTTAAAATATTTAGAAATAAACATTGACTAACACAACATATACAACTGCATTGACCCATCAGACGTCTAGCCTGAATAGCAACCGTCAAACAAAGCCAGCCTTCAAATGTAAAGCTCTGATCGGAAAAATGTCGAATAATTTGAAACACTAGACTGAAACATAGAGACTGACAAGTAGCAAGGCACGTACTCTTTCTATATACAACATCGTAGATGCTGTCTATGTCAGTCCCATCATTATCAAATGCCTAATAAGTATACACAACTCGTACAGTGTAGTGGTAGGGGCTAACGCTCGTTAGCTAAAACAGGTGAAAGAGTGTATAACTCGCGGTATAATTGTCATTAGACACACTATTTTGATTCTGATTGTATAATCGTTGATGATATGAGCACAGACGCTAGCATTGCCGAAACCACCAGTATGGCTGGAATGAGAAATCTAAAGATTAGAACTTATTTAACTGTACATAACAAAATCTATCGTCATCGCCTACTCA